TTCATGGGGTCACGAAGAGTCGGACACGACTTAACGACTAAACAACAACAACAACAAGACAAAAATTCATTAGTGAAGGTGGGTGGCATCTTCTCAAGACACCAGGAGCACACTGAAGCAGAGGCTACCACAAGGTAAGCTTATCTTTGTCTTTCCCACTGGAGTGTATATACAAGTATATTGATTATGAGTGTGAAGAGGTTATGGAAGAGAAAGGTTGTACACAATTATGGAAAAAGACTCTGCATATATATGACAGAAATTATGGGTGGGAAAATACACTGTGTATATGTCTGCAAAAAGAACTCACTGCTTGCATCCATGTAAGAAGTGAGCAGAAAGAGGTGATGGGTATATGTGTGCAAGCAAGAGGAGGTTGCAGGTATTGGGGGGAGTGCCCTCATTGCTCATTTTTGCATACATAAAAATGATCCCCTGAAGACTTCACTTGTGTGTCCTGGGGCTAATCCTATATGTGTCCATTCAAGCAAGATATAGGTTTTTTTAATACATAAAAAGCTTCACAGAGTTCCAAATAATTTAAGCCCACAGGACTGCATCATTAAACATTTTACTTCTCTACTGTGTACGTATATTATATATATATATATATGTATGTGTGTGTGTGTGTTACATTTATGGTGTGTGTATATATATATATATGTGTGTGTGTGTGTGTGTATACACACACACAGAGATACATATCTTATAAAACCTTGCACATACAGTAAATTATTGGACTTGCATGAAGTTCTCAATTTAAATTGCTTTTTCCAACTTTTAGACAGGAATTCTGTTTTCTGTCTGACACTTGAAAAACAAAGAAACATTGTTTTCACGGTTTCATCAACCCCCACCTCCCGCCCCAAGAATGAAAGGAGCAACAAAAGAACATATGGCATACACACGGACATACACAAAAAAGTTTTTGAAGAGTCATCCGCCTCTTCAGACATACCAGCAGATGTCACTACTGCTCTCACTCAAACAAGCGCCTTCCATCTCCCTTTTCCTTATCTTTTGCAACAGCCTCCCGACATACTACAACCCCATCAAATCATCCTGAGCAGGTCGAAACATAACTCGGGACTCGGAGAGAAAAGGTTCTCCTAACGACGCGAGCGCTCGCGTTCTCCTGACAATAACAGACGTGCCTGCGAGCCAATGGGCTGCCCGAGAAAGGGAAAGGGCGGGGCTTCAGGTGGTACATCCAATCTCGTGGCAGATGCAGCCAACAACTAGGCAGCGACCGCCGAAGAGGCGCGTTCTGCGGGAAAGGGAAGAGAGGGGAGGAGGTAGGAGTCAGGAGCTCTCGCGAGAGTTGCCTGTCCACTTGCTACTGGGTGACTGCGCAGCTGCCATGTTGGTTGCTATGCTGCTGCCTGTCTGAGGGCAGGCGGGAGAAAAGGAAGGAGGGAGGCTGGCTCTGGGGAGGGGAGAAAGACGGAGGAGGCGGCAGCACCAGCACCAACGATTGCTGCCAGTCCTCGCTCCCCCCTTCTTTTCTCAGCGCAGACAGGCATTACCCTGCTGGATAGCTACCGCCTCCCCCCTCCTCACCCTACGGCTCCAGGAGAAGGAAGAGAGAGAAGAGGAAGAAATCCTCCTTGGGGGTGGGTGGGGTAAGACGGGGGTGCTTTTCCCTCAGGGAGGCGACGACTGAACCCCCATTCCTCTCCTCGCTCGATTTTCCCCTGTGGCTGGGGAGGCGGGAAGACTCGGTCGCCTTCCGCGTCTCCTCTCTCCAGATCTCTCCCCATCCTTGCCTTTTCTGCTTGCAGTAGGAATGTGGGGGGGCCTTGAGTTGAGAGTGGGGCGCTCGGTGCAACGGCTGCTGGTGATCCCCCTTCCTTTTTGCCTGCTGCTGCGTGGTGGTACAAGAACTAAATTGAACTGAGCAGAGGGCTTGAACTCACCCTTTGGGGGGGTAAATACCCCCCTCCTTTTCACTTTACCTTTCGGGCTCCTCTTCCTCCCTTTGAGTTGGTTGTTGCTTCATTATCGTTCTCTGGAAGGACGTGGCTGTTATATGAAGGTAAGAAAATCTCTTTTTTTTTTTTAAAGAAACTTGTCAGGTTAATGTGAGAAACTCCCCCCTTCTCCTGCTGCTCCAAATATTATTACGTAGTTCTCTTTCTAGTAAGCTTTCGCTAAGGTAAAGGAAGCAAAATTGCCACTCCGCTCCCTGGATTGCTTGGGTCTGAGTATTAAATGTGGGCTGACCCAACATATGCAAGTAAGTGTGTGACAACACTAGAAGGTGCGTGGGTGATCGGTTGTTGGAGTTGCCAGATCAACATTGTCTCAAATTTTAACAGTTATGAATTTCCTGGCATGGAGAATATGCCACGGTTTCCCTTAAAAGAAACCGTGTCCGATTATTCGAATTGCTCCAGAAAGAGTTGAAGAGGTGGTAGAGTTAATGCTGTTTTAGTTAAGCCTGATGTCTGTTTGCAAAAGACTGGAAAAGATCCTGACGACTGGGGTCCCCCCCCCCTTTCTTGTTGTGTGAAGCTGTGCTACAGCAATAGCAATAGAGTGGTCATACTCAAATTCGTTTCGAAAATCCAAAGGCTGAGAATGGCTGTCCTGAAGCGTGCATGTTGTGTTGCGTCCTATTATGTTAGCCGGAGAAGCAGCAGGATTACGTTATTCTTTAGAGGGAGTGAAGAAAAGACAAAACTAGGTTGCCTGAAGGCATGTTGGGGTCCCGAATTGAATTCCTTAGTTACAGAGATAAAGATATTTGAAGATAAGCAGGAAAGGCTTGGAAATGGTTTCTAATATAAACACTTAATGTATTTTTCAAAGAGTGAAATTAAGATGTATCAAATGTTACGTTTTAAAAAATTGAAAAGGCCTGCTAACCCGTACTTTAAAGCATGTTTTCTATACATATTCTGAGAATTAAAAATGAAACTAGAGTTATATTACTTTACATGTTCAAGACCTATCTATCTATCTATCTATCTATCTATCTATCTATCTATCTTCTGAATTACATCTACAAGGATTTGGTGTGGCAGTATCACAATCTCAGAGCAGCCACTTCCGCAACTGTATATGAACACAAGATAATGTAACATAGTAAAATGTTCAGAAATAAATCATAAATGTTCATAAATAAAAATATTTTCATTAAGAGCTATTGCAGTTTTGTTTTAGAGTGAGGTGACTCTAAGTGTAAAGAATCCTGAAGTAAAACTTTAGGAGGGGGAAAATATGATACTGCACCTGAATACCTCATGTGCAACTGCTTTTTCCCCCTTTCTCATAGAAAAAAAATAGGTTAAGCCAGAAGCTGAGGTTCAAGATGCCATTCAGAAAAGCAGAAAGAAATAATGATAGTACATACTATGTAGGGACTCAAATGTGCAACTCTAAAGTTTGAAAAGAGTTTTTAAATATCAAGATTAAACTAGACCTCTCTACTGATAGACTACCTTATTTGTGGTTTATGTTAGTGTAGAAAATCATTTCTTGCCTATCTGAATTCCAATCAATCTGGATTCTTTCTATGCCTGCCTTCTATACTTGCTGAATGTGCTCTTTCATGCTATGTTGTCACCTGCAGAGAAAAGAATGTTCATAATGATTATCTTACTGGCTATAATTTTAAATTATATATTGCTGATATCATAACCAAATAATAGTCACATGAAAATAATAGTCATTTGTAAAAGTAGCATAATTAGAATTTCAGAAACTTAGGAGAACAGTTTAACTTCACTATCATCTTTCTGGTTTTTGCAAATCAAAAACTATAGATTGCATGTATTAACTGAAAACCAAATGCAATAATTCTTACATGTATTCTATCTTAATATTTTTAGGCTTTAATCTTTTTTTATTTTGTATTAGCTAAGAAATCAATATGTTTGTACTTTGAGACATTTGCAAAATCTTCAGTGTATTACACCAGAAAGTCAATAAATGATACCCATCAGAAGTTTTGGACTACAGCTCTCAAAATCCTTTGCCATATTTGGATGTGGCTGATGGAAGTTGTATTCCTCCCAAATGAAAGGGACATCAAGTTACTTGGTCCTATATACGCTAAGAGTTGTGCAGTACTTTTTATAACATAAACTAACCTCTGTGGCATGTGACATAGGTTTATTAGTAAGTACATTGTATAAAGATATGTTAACCCTATCATAATATTTGCTAGGCCTCTGTATAGATCTGGATTCAAAATGCAGAGTGTGTCTCAGTGCATGCATGGGTATGCAGGAAGCAGCTGGTGGGAACACCTTAAAGCAGCTGTGTCTTTTCCTGGGCTCATGCAATTGCTTTCTTTAGCTGCAGACAATCCCAGAAAAAGACAATTTGGTTTAAGATGTTCCTGACACATGCTACATGTGCATTCATGCATACCCTGAATTGCATTTTTCCCTTTGAATTCAGATCACTGCACAACTCTTATGTTTGTGTTCATTATTCTTTTTAATTTTATATTATGTTTTTTCTCCATACATTTTATGGAATAAATTCAAAATCTGATAATATTATACAAGTCATTATAATGATAAAACATATTTAGGATGTTTCATTGGAAATCACGTTACAAGTTGTCTGTGTAGGAGGAAGCTGCCTGGTTAAATGATGCTTTTTGAATTATCTCGGTGGCAGCAGTCTAGCTGACCTTGGGTGATCTTGGAAGCTAAGCAGAATTGACTCTTAATATGAGGATGGGGTGCTGCCTGGGAATTTCAGGGCTGTTGGCTAGATTTGAGAAGTTTTTTTTTAAAGTCCTGAAAGGAGCAATGGTAGATCACTTCCATAAAGTTGCCAAGAAAACTGCATGGGTGCAGTTATAGAAGTGGAGCTTGACTTAACTGTTGATTTCATTTGGGTTAAAGGTCCTATTGGAGTATCAGACAATGCATAATTGGGATAGACCTACAGTTGTTGCACATAGATAGTAGTATATATCATCATGTTCTCTTTTTATTGAAGACATGCCATAAACACATTGAAATTAGACCTGTTGATGTTTTGCTAAGAATCAAAAGTCCAATTAGAAGTGATCCACATGTGCAAACAGGTTTCTATGCATAGGTTACCACATCTGCTTATTTAAGTGGTTGTGGTGGTATAGTATCTCTGTTATCCTATTAGCAAAAACCATTGTATTGGATGAAATAGGACTCAGTGTCAGGTTACCTATTTATATGAATTAAGGTGAGGTGAAGGCAAAGAGAAGAGAACTACATCATATATATGATAATGAGTCAATGGAAAGCCATGGTAATGATCTGCTTATTTTTACCTTGTGAATTTAGGCTACTGTCACTTACTATAAGATTAAATGATGACACGTATTTGTTTACTGAATGCCATGGGCTTAAAGCCAGATTTTCTAATTGAAGACATTTTAGATAAATATTGTTAGTAATAACCACTTTCATTTGCAATTTAAAGGTGGTTCTTTATATTGCAATTTAATTGGGGTTCAATCTTTCTAACCTTGAGTTTTTGGGGGGGTTCTTCCTTAGAGCTATTATACAAATACCTGTAGTTTTATGAAAAGCAAGGAATGTGTTTGTATATATCTCTTTTTACATCTGTTCTTTTGGGACTACTTAAATTATGTGATGTTGCAAAATATTGCATGGATTACACAGAGTAACAAAAGCCTATTTTCCCTTTTCTAGTTCCCATTTGTTGTAGTTCCAGGAATTTTTAGAGTTGCAGGATGAAAGCTTGAATCATCACTTTGTATGTGTGTATGGTTCAGTATGTAATTTGTTACTGGTTTGAAGAATCTAAATATGAAAATGTCTTTTTATTTGATATTTTGACCTGGATATGTTTCAGAAAGATATTGTAAGGATTAAATGTTAGTCTTCAAGTTGAAAAAACACTTCAGGGTTTATCTGGATTTTATTCTATCCTCCCCAGTTATTGTAGAGCTCTTAAGCCAGTCTGATTTTAAGTAGAGGGTATATTGCCTGTATTACATTAAAACTGCACTAGAGCAGAACTACCTATCACACAACTAAGATCTGTAGACCACTTTGTCAGAAAATAGCGTATCAGGCTTGTGTCTTCACAGTCACATGTTGTTCGTTACCTGCTCATTTAGCTCAGAGAAAAAAACAAGAAAATGAAAAAAGTCACTGTCTAAAACATTGCATTACATGGTTGAGTTATACTGATAATACTACTTTGGATTGGATTGAGAATGGGAGTAAATGAATGCATGTGTTAATGCGTTTTTCGTTGTGTAAAGTCTCATCTCATTGACTTCTGTAGATTTAAACACTTGAAACTGCAAGCAAAACTGCTTTTCATAATATGTATTAGTTGGGCATTATGCTAGCATTTAAGTGTATAGATTCTGAACACATAACACATGATGTTTCTTTTGCTACCTGGACAAAAAAGGAAGAAACCTTCTCCTTGCCCAACCATTGAAACAAATAGTATTGGAAAGTACTAGTCTACTTAGATTCAGCATGCATCTTCTACTTAAGGAGAAAAATAGTAGTCTGCTTCTGATCTAAACATGTGATCACCACAAATGTATCTTGTATGTACAAGGAAGCTAAAACTGGCTACAGTTTCCTATTATAGTGGCAAGCCAATAAATGGAATTGCCACACCTAAACCCAATTAAAGGTAATTATAAAGTGCTGGTTATTTATTTTTTTAATTCTATATAGATTGAGTCCAGATTACTGGAGATAATGCCCCTCCTCCTACCATTGAGATTTTCTGCAGTTGCTGTGGACTTGTTTTTTGGTAACTTGGGGTCAAGTCATCTCTGTACTCAATCTGAACTTCTGGAAATCATTCTGTCCTGTTGAAGGAATTTGGCCTTTTTGTCAGCTTTTTAGAAGGCTCACATAAGACATTGTTTTAAACACATTTTAGTTGTTGATAATTTAATCTTTATTTTTAATTTTAACTTTAATGTATCTAGTTTTAACTTTGGTCTTGTGGTTTTATTGAATACCACAGAAAGACTGGTACATACTGTAGTGGTATTAAGTTTAACAAACATATACAATTTATTTTATTTCTTTATTG